CCCCACGCTGGGTGTGAGTGCTATCCAACCTAAGAATAAAATGTAAGGCACAAAAAGAGGGTCACTGCTTGTTGCTGTCTTCTGCCTACCATCAACTATTTTTTCTCTGTGATGCCCCTTTGCCATGCCACCCTGCCTTGGAGCCAACCAACTATGGACTAAAACCTCTACAAACTGTGAATTAAATAAACCTTTCCTCCTTTAACTTTGGGTGCCAGTTATTTTGTCTCAGCATTGTGAAAAATACCTAAGACACTGTACAATAAGACCTTGCATAAGAATTATGCTAAGCTTTTTATAATTATTCTTTGGAGAAGAGAGTTTCCTACATTAGCAGACCAGGTATGGGGGTGCATGCCTATAATCCCAGTACTCTGGGAGACCGGGGTATGAGGATTGCAAGTTTGAGTCCAGGTTAGGCAATTTAACAATTTAGTGAGATCTTATCACAAAAATGAAAAAAATTTGAGGTTATTTATCACTAAAAGAAAAAGGGCTATGGAAGAGGAACTCCAAGATCTTTTAGGTAAGGTCTCTTGGGAAGAAGTGAAGGCCCTAGGCTTAACCAACAAACCAACCAACCAACCAAAATGAACCAGACTACCTGATACATGCATTTGTTCAGAACCTCCTTTCCTTCTTTTTGGAGGATGGTGGCGGTAATAGTGGTGGTGGTGGAGGAGATTTGAGACAGTCTCACATGTAACCCAGGTTGGGCTTGAACTTTGGACTGTCTTGCCTCAGCTTTCTGGGTGCTGAGATGGGAGGTTACTGGGCCATACCCCTATGCCTGGCTTCTCTCCCTATTTTTCCCAAATGCTAAATTTGAAACTTAACACACTCATGATGGGGCCATAGTTCGTATGTCTTACTGCTGGGTGGCTCTGAACCACCTGTGGTACATACATGACTGTTCCACTAGGCAGCACTGAACAGTCCCATCATGTGGTACAAACTCCCAATGTACCTCCTGTGGTTCAAGCAGGCGGGACATGTGAACCAGCACAACCAGGATTCTAGAAGACTTAAACCAGCCATCCTGCATGCAGACACCAAATAGCTAGGAACTGGCTAGGTTACTTTTGAAAATATGGTCTTTTAGCAGAGATGAATGACTACAGGACCAGAGTGAGGTCTGTGTCACATTTCTCTATCTTTGAAGTAAATCATCTTGTTCCAATTTCTGGCAGTCCAGAGTGCAAAGCCTGGGATGAAATTTGGATATGCCCATTAGTTCCAGTCTATATCATGCAAGACAGGTTTCTCATGAAGCGGAATCTATATTAATGAAATACAGTAAAGATCCATTTGTACTTCTAACAGGGGCTTATTGTCAGAGGAATGAACAGTGATATTAATGCTCTTCCCAAAGTCCTATTCTCACCCACTGAGGACATACTAGGAGCTGGGAAGAGACAGTTCTGTTGTTTCAGCTCACAGGAGGCAGAGGGAGACAAATGAAGGCTAAAGGAAGAACATTTCATTGCTTTCAGGGTTCTTTTACCTTTTCAAGTTTGATTTTTGAAAAGAATTATTTTCTATTTATACTACTATACATTCTACCTATGAAACAAATTAAAAGAATCACCTCAGATAATATGCAAGATAGGAAATGACAGTATCTATAAATTCATTTAAGAAAAACTATTAACATTTTGATATTTATCCCTGTATTTCTTTTCTATATACATGGTATGAAAGAGGGCTTAATTTAGCCTGCTTTTATAATCTAAACAAAAACCACTATATCTAAACAAAAACCTCCTCCTGAAGCAGGAGGATCATAAGTTTGAGCCCAGTTTAGGCAACTTAGTGACGCCCTGTCTTGAAATTGAAAAAAAAAAGACTGAGGATGTAGTTCCGTGTGAAGATCCTAGGTTCAGCCCCTAGTAACACACACACACACACACACACACACACACACACACACAGTAAAGGATATGGAAATATGTCTGTAGTCCAAGTCTCCCTTATAACTCTATGAGGGATAAACAATAATTACAGGTCTTTGTACTTATTTTAAATAACTCTCCTGAATTAATGACCAATTTTCTGTTCAGAGATTTTAGTTCTTTCTACCTTTTGCATTTAAACAATGTGAGAATTATTAGTGTGCATGCATTTTCGGAAGTTTACACAAATAATAAATCTGCTTAAAGTCTAAAAGGAATAAAATAAAAATATAAAATGAAATTAAAATGATGTTTTAACCAAACAGGTCTTAATATTAAATGGTTTGACGAGCAAAGCTAGGAGTGAATGCATCAAAGCGATGCAATGTACATACAGCCAACTGGTAAGGCAGTGGATTTAATGGCTTACGACTTTTTTTTTTTAATTTTTTTTTGCTTGGCATAGTGCCACATGCCTGTAATCCTAGGTATTTGGGAAGTGGAGGTGCAAGGGTTTGAGAACAGTCCAGACATTTTAGTGAGACCTTGAAAAAAAAGACACTTTGTGGTCGCAGTGCTGCTCCCAAGTAAGGTGGAATCTTGTTTTATATAATTTCATGTTTCATGGTGTCACATATACCAGGGATTAAATAAGTCTTTTAACCTAAGTTACTCCAATTCCCTAAGTTTTATTCTAAAAAGAAGGAAATATTTCTCAGAATTTTTGCTTTCATGATTGTATTACTTTCTTAAGTCTTCATTAATCTTTGAGGTTATTATCTATCACTTTTCTTCCTCTTTACTGAAGAAAAACTACAAAATGCATTGGTGTAAAAGAAAACTGAAATAAAACACCTGCATTTTCCACCTTTGAAAGTGAGTTTCTGGAAAGAGAAGCATGTTCATATTGATACAACAGGATTTGTTGATTCTGTTTTGGGTGGTAACTATGCCAGCCAAGTCCTCCACCACTGAGCTACATCCCAGTCCAGCAGGTACTATGGTTTTAAGCACAAATTCCAGTGTAGTATTTAGTCAACATTCCTAATGAGGAGGTACTGGACACACAGTAAAGATAAAATCATGGGGTGAGAGTTGGATATATTCTGCCCTCCACTAACTAGATCAGAAGCTTTCTTCTTATTTGTGAGCAAAAGGATAATCAAATTGGATATTCTATGTTAGGCTCTGCCCTTTGAAATCTGTGTTATATGTACCTTTGATTCTAGAAGAGCAAGCTCAGAGAATTCTTGCAATCCTATCTGAAAGCCTCTCCTCTTTCTTGACTGGTACCGTGGAACCCCAAGGGGTTTATAAGTTCATCCACAAAAGGCAAGAGTGAGACATGGATCCAGATTAAAATGGTTAAGAAGCAAAAGAA